TACAAAGAAATTGAATAGAACTCATAGAATAATTCAAAAAAGAAAATGAAAAGACATAACAAATTTAGAATGAGAAAAAAAAAACTAGCTATACGTATACCATAAAAAGAGATTCGAGAAATATTGAAAGGCCTCTTTTTCTGTGTTTCTCGCCCCTTCAGGACGTTGATGGATATGGTACCCAAGAATTTCCATCCTTTGTAGCTCAGTAAATTTTGTATATTTATCTCTGTTCTAACCATTTACACAAGCTGGTAATATATGTTATGGCGGCTGTTTCTCTGTCCCTCTTGCCTTTATGCTGTCTTGTGACCTATCAAAGATTTACTCATTATGTGTCCCAGAAACTGTTCCTTTCTGATGTTAAGTATAAGTGTCATTTTTGTATCCATTTTCTCGAGTCATTGCTCACATATTCGGTCCATCGTATTCTCGGCATCCTTCTGTCGGACTACATTTCTGTTGCTTCAAGTCTCTTCTTCATTTGTGAAGAGGTTGTTCGGCACTCTTTGCTATATAGGAGGAGTGGTATTACATAACATTTCAGTACTCTTTTCTTCGTGAGGTAAAACAAGTCTATTGACCAACATTTGAAGCTGGTATTAGGAATGTTACAAAAGAGAAACGGTGCAATTTATTGAGAACGGAGCCAAACACCTTTAAATGAACATCACAAAAAGAAACGTGTAATTTATTCTACAACACTAATTTTTAATGATAGCTGTAGAACTACATTGGACGTAACTAGTGTTAGGGTCGATGTTGAGTTCCTGTGGGGGAAGTGGGTAAAGTTTTGGGCTTGTACTGCAGACAGTAAGAAGATTATCTGAAGTACAAAAGAAGGTTTTAATATATTTCAACACAGACAGCGAATATTATTTGCAAACACAACTGTTCTTTTGCTTGCTCTTCAGTGCATGGAATATAAAAGAAACATTAAAAAGGAGAAGATTACAATGGTTACTCTCTCTCTCTCTCTCTTTCCTCATTAATATTATCTCTCTTTCTCTCTCTCCCCCCTCACACAAACATACTCAGTCTTTCCCTCTCTACTTCAACAATCCTTTTTCTCTACCCAAGGACAGTATTTCTTTCTTTCTTTTCAAAGTATTCCTTTCTCTCGTAAAAAAAAAACACTCTCTCCTATTAATCTATCTCTTTTTTTCTGTCTTTATCTTTCCCTCTCCTTTAACAGTATTTCGGTCTTTTTTTTCCTAATAGTGTTTCTCTATCACCTCTAACAGTATTTCTCTCTCTCTCTCTCTCTCTCTCTCTCTCTCTCTCGCAATGTCTCCCTCCCTCTCTCTTCTTCTACCTCTCCCAACGCTTCCATTATATCCTTTCTCTATCTTTCCTCTCGCCGTATTTTCTCCTCACTTTCCTTACAGTGGTTTTCTCTCTCGTAATAATGTCCGTCTCACTTTACAGTTTATCTCCTCAGCATTTCTCCCTCTCGTTCCTGATGGTGTTTCTCTCTCTCTCTCTCTCTCTCTCTCTCTCTCTCTCTCTCTCTCTCTCTCTCTCCTCTCTAGCAGTACTTCGATCTTTATCCTAACAGTCTTTCTCCTTCTCTCTATTTTATTTCTCTCTCTCACTTTCTCCCCTAGCCATGGCATTTACGATCCTTCTGCGATAAAAGTCCATGCCACTTATCTACCTGATAGGTATCAGATACCGCAGACAAAATAAAGCGTCGTGATCAGGAAGACAAAAGAAACAAGTCCAGGCGGCGAAATAAAAGATCATTACGGACAATAAGATCGTTCAATTGATATATAAATATTTCTTCTTTTTTTTTTTTTAATTTTCTTTTTTCTTCTTTTTCTGCTAATGCCTATCATTTTTCTATTCCCTGTTCTTCGTGACCTTTTTTTCTTTTTTTTTTTTTTAATACTTTTTTTCTTCTTCTTCTTCTTCACTCTTCTTCTTCTTCTTCACTCCTCTTCTTTTTCTTCTTCTCTTTCTTTTTCTTCTTCTTCTTCTTCTTCTCTTTCTCCTTCTTCTTCTTCACTCTTCTTCTTCTTCTTCTTCTATAAAAGTTATGTTCTTCTTCTCTTTCTGCTTCTTTTTTCTTCATCTTCTTCTCCGTCTTCTTCATCTTCTTCATCTTCTTCTTCTCCGTCTTCTTCTTTTTCTTCGCTTTATTCTTATTATTATTATTATTATTCTCTTCTTATCCTTCCTCTTCTTCTTCACTCTTCTTCTTCTTCTTCTTCTTCTTCTTCTTCTTCTATAAAGGTCATGTTCTTCTTCTCCTTCTGCTACTTTTTTCTTCATCTTCTTCTTCTCCGTCTTCTTCTTCTTCGCTTTATTCTTTTTCTTCTTATTATTATTGTTCTCTTTCTCCTTATCCTTCCTCCTCTTCTTCTTCTTCTTCTTCTTCTTCTTCTTCTTCTATAAAGGTAATGTTTTTCTTCTTCTTCTGCTTCTTTTTTCTTCATCTTCTTCTCCGTCTTCTTCTTCTTCTCCTTCTTCTTCTTCTTCAATGGTCATGTTCTACTTCTTTATTATTTTTCTTCTACAAAGTTTATGTTTTTCTAGAGATGTTACGTTCATCTTTTTTCTTGTCCTACAAATATCATGCTGTTCTTTTATTTTCTCTACAAAAATCACCATCAGCAGCAGCAGCAGCAGCATCTTCTTCTTCTACAAAAGTCATCTTATTCCTCCTCTTTTCTTTTCTTTTGCCCTACTAATTCCATAATTCATTCTCTTCCTAAGAAATAATACCGTTTTCTCCTCCATCTTTGTCTGTTATTTCTCCTTCAGATTGTCTTACTCTTCTTCCTATGCTGCTTCTTTTTTTTCATCGTCTTCTACCGATATCGTCTTTACTTTCTCCTGCTATTAGTCCTCCCCTTCCTCCTACAAAGAACTGTTTTTTTTTCTTCAGCCTCCCCATCTTCTTCCTAGTTTTTCTTTCTTCATTTTCTTCCTCTCTATTCGTTTTGTCCATCCACTTCGCATAGATCTATTTTTATTTCTCATCTGTATCCACTACTTCTACTTCCCTTTCTCCTTGTACTCACTCTTCTCTCTCTTTCTGTCTCTCTTTATTTTTTCTCTCTCTCTCTCTTTCTCTCTCTCTCTCTCTCTCTCTCTCTCTCTCTCTTTCAGCATGCCCCTTATTTTCTACAGATCTACGTTCCATTCCTCCTCTTTCTTCTTCTAGAAAGGAATCGAATTTCTAGTAGGAAAATTCATGATTCTTTCGTAATAAAAAGATGTTTTAAAGGAAGAGAAGAAGAAAAATGATCTTTGTAAGAGAGGGGGAAAAAAGAAGCGAAGAAAAGAATGCAAGAGAAGGTGGAAGAGAAGTGCATTGAAATTCGTTTTTTAGAAGGAAAAGAACAAAAACTGTATCTCTTTGTTCTTTTCTTCGGCTTTCTTCTACATCTTTTTCTTCCATTCTTCTTCTCTCTCTTGCAAGAATCATTGTTCATCTCTTCCTAAAAACATCATCTTTTTCTTACCTCAGTTTTACTCTCTTCTTCTTCTTCTTCTTCTTCTTCTTCATTCCTCCTCTTTCCTTAAACATCATCTTTTTCTTACTTTCCTCGTCCTACGTCTAAAAAGATCATATTTTTCTTCTTTTCTTCGTCCTTCTCTTTCACTTTCTTCTTCTCTTCCTTCTCCTAAAAACATTATCCTTTCCTTATCATCCTATTAGATATAGATAGATAGATTTTTCTGTTCTTCTGCCTCATCATTACAAAAAATGTCTTTTCTTCTCCTCCTCCTATAAACATCATCTTTTTCTTACCTTTCTCTACCTACATCTACAGAGATCATCTTTTTCTTCTCTTCTCTTCTCTTCTTAATCCTTATCTTAGAATGATAGTCTTTTCTTCTTCACTTCCTTCTCCTTTCTTAAACATAATCTTTTACTTACCATCCTCTTCCTACGTTTACAAATATCATCTCTTTCTTCTCTACTCTTTTTCCTCCTCCTCTTAGAATGATCGTCTTTTTCTTCTCCGCCTCCTCCTCCTCCTATAAACATCATTTTTTCTTACCTTCCTCCCCCTACGTTTACAAAGAGCATTTTTTCTCTTCTCTTTTTCCTCCCCCTTCTTGCAATGATCGTCTTTTTCTCCTCCTCCTTCTATAAACATCATCTTTTTCTTACCTTCCTCCCACTACGTTTAAAAAATCATCTCTTTCTTTTTTCCTTCCTTTCTCTTTCTCTTCTCCTTCTGCTAAAACATCATCATTTTGTAACCATGTTTTTCTCGTCTTCCTACCAAGTCTACCTCTTCTTTTTTTTCTTCTTGTACAAAATTAATCTTAGTTTTATCTTTATCTTCCTTCTCTTATAAATTTATTTTCCGTCGCCATGTTTCTTAACCTTCTTCTTTTCTCTTTCATTCTTTCTTTTGGTCACAGAATTTCTATTTCGTTTTAAGGTTATTTTTGAGTTCTTTTCGACAAATTCTATCGTCTACGTAAGAAATAATCCGAACCGATCACGATTCTGCCTAAATCAACCCCACCACATCTGCCACCAAAGCCCCTTCTATTGGAAAGAAATGCTCTGAGATTTCTTTTATTTTTCTCTGCATCTTCCCAATTGAGTCGTACACATCCGCATAACGTTCTGAAAAGCTATTCACGGCTCGCTAAAGGGGAAGCACCGATTGATGCGTCTCCTTCCTGCTGAGGTTCCAAAGATACTTTTTTTACCGAATCCCCAGAGGATGAAGAGACAAATTCGTAGTGAAGAAAAACGCAGATAATAAGGAGAAAATAAAAACCACATGGCAAATTTTGGCTGCAGAGTACATCACGAAATTGTCAGTGTGAGGATCCATGGGTCTTTTTCTTTCATCTTCTATTCAGTTACAAAAGAGAATTGAATGATTTTGGATCGGAGTAAGAACAATAATTTAATTAGATCAGTAAACAGATAGCTAAATTACACTATAAATGAGGTGACTTTTGCTTATGCTAGAGTTCACACAATATAAAGCTTGAGAGCCACTCAATGAAGAGGCTTATTGTTAAAGAGGAATGAGATGCGTGATATGAATGTAAGAAAAGCTTTTATTAAGGGAAGACGATAGATAGATAGATAGATAGATAGATAGATAGATAGATAGATAGATAGATAGATAGATAGACATACATACATACATACATACAGATACATACATACATACATACATACAGATAGATAGATAGATAGATAGACATACATGCATATTGATAGATAGATAGATAGACATACATACATATTGATAGATAGATAGATAGATATACATACATACATACAGATAGATAGATAGATAGACATACATACATATAGATAGATAGATAGATAGATAGACATACATACATACATATAGATAGATAGATAGACATACATACATACGTATAGATAGATAGATAGATAGATAGACATACATACATACGTATAGATAGATAGATAGATTGACATACATACATACGTATAGATAGATAGATAGATAGATAGATAGATAGATAGATAGATAGATACATACATACAGATAGATAGATAGATAGATAGATAGATAGATAGATAATGATTGACTCATGACGTTCAAGGTTAAGATTATAGTGTTCAAGGAGGCATGCAAACGAGAGCCTGTTGCACAAAGTAGCAGATCTTTGGAAAAAGCTTTCAAAGTGGAGTATGCTCCTCTCCTTTGTAATACGGGGGAAACGACGGTGATTAGACGCTGTGAAAATAACATAGCGTGTTCGGGCTGTAAAGCTCTGAATTGGTACAAATAAATGGAACTCATTTCATCATTTGCTATGGAAGTAGCGCTTGGCTTGTTTTGCATGTGAGGAAAGAGACTGTACAATGGGAAATGCGACATCTCCAACTAGACCGCTTTAACGATTTTGAACTCTATCAAGGCTGGGAAGTATGCATTTGGGCAGCTCAAGTCCAGATACGGGGGTAATAAACAATTATTCTCACCCCCTACAACCACACCCTACAATCCCTTTCTCACAGACGAGACGTCACTAGTCTCTCGCTGTTCTTTCGCTATTTCCATGGAAAGTGTTCAGACGAATTACTTTCCTTAGTTCCACCAGTCCTCACCTTTATGGCTGGGTCCCGCCATGCCACGTCCATTGTAGCGAACAAACCTCGATCTCTTTGTATTCCTTCGGAGCGATGTAAGTTCCACTGGAGCAGCTTCTTCTCATGAAAAGTTGCCTTATGGAATCGACTTCCCGATCACTACAATCTTAATCTGTTCACGTCTCGGGTGAGCCGTTATCCTCTACACATATGCGCATAAGCTCTGCCTCTTATTCTGTAACCCTCTACCTCGAGTGGCTTTTAGGCCTTGTGCAAGATGAAAATATCTGAAAAAATATTTTACTATTTTTATATAGAAAATAAATTTTATTTGTAATTGCATATCCTTATATATAAATTATAATTATTCTATGCAAAATTTTACATCGTATTATTTTTTTTATTATTCCATCTTAAATATTTTCCCATTTTATGACCCAAATAATTTTTTCGAAATTGTAAGCATTAAGCATTCAAAAGACATTAAGCGTTACATTCCCTCTGGTTCGGGATTAGGACATTTTGCATCTTTAGTAATAAAAACACACGAGAAAATATAAAATTCCCACCATTGTTATAAGGATGCAGACCCCATGCAATTATTTTTAAATTACAAAATAAACTGGAATTTGATCGTTATTGAAATGAACTCGAATTTATCGTTATTGCGCTGAGAACAAATCTCGCTAGAATACTTATTTATTTATTTTTTTTATAAGAATTTCACCCCAAGCAAGGCGGGAGTGCCACTAGTACGCAAGGGTGGGTACAGAGAGTGAAAGTAAGGGAAAAGACTGCGTATGGGGGGGTGAGGAAAGGATATAATGAAGAACGGGAATCAAGGCATCAGAAGATGTCGATTGACATTACATTTAATTTTTTTAAGATTATATCAGGTCATCCCATAAGTTCTGTCCGAATTTTACCTTTTTAAAAATGAACGAAATTTAAAGACTATTTTATAATGTCTAATGGAGCTGAACATTATTTTTATGTTTAGATGCATTTAAACTGATCATATGTTATTTCAGAGAACAATAAAATTAAATTTTGTTTGATTAAAACCCTGCTAACATGGAATCATTTGAGGCACATAATGCTTTATGAGTTCAAGAAAGGAAACACAGCAGCCGAAGCGGCTAGAAACATTCACTCAGTTTATGGAGAGGAATGTGTGAATGAAAGAACTTGCAGAAGATGGTTTGCAAAATTCAGAGGTGGAGATTTCACCCTTGAAGATGAAGATCGAACCGGACGTCCAGTTGAGTTTCATGAAAAGCTTCTTGAAGCAGCCCTTGAAGAAAATCCTGCTTTATCAGTTGAGGAATTGGAAGTGGTTCTCAGTTCAAACCATACAACTGTTCATCGTTATCTTCAACAACTTGGAAAAATTCCTAAACTTGGAAAATGAGTGTCTCATGAATTGTTTGAAAACAGCCTCAAATCCCGAGTTGACATCTGCTCTTCTCTTCATTCTCGCCAACTTGTTTCACCTTTTTTGGATAGACTTGTGACTGGCGACAAAAAATGGAACTTTTATCGAAATGTTAAGCGTCGTAGACAGTGGCTTGGTAATGGGGAAGGACCTCTTTCAATCTGGTGGGATCGCCAAGGAATAATCCACTTTGAATTCTTATCACCTAATGCAACAATTAAGGCTCAAATATGCTGTCAGCAATTAGAGCGTTTGAACCAAGCTTTGAGGGAAAAAAGACCTGCTCTAGTGAATCGAAAAGAGGTGATGTTTCATCAGGACAATGCGCGGCCCCACACAGCAAGAATCACGTCACAAAAGATCGAAGAACTTGGTTGGGAGAAAATTCCTCATCCACCTTATTCTCCCGATCTTGCTCCTTTAGACTACCATTTGTTTCGTAGCTTACAGAATCATTTGAAAGAAACCGTTTTTATAGCACAGGAAGAGGTTAAAACTGACATTTGTGAGTTCTTCGAATCAAAGCCAAAAGTATTTTACAGTAATGGAATTAGTAAGCTTGTTAATAGATGGAAGGAAGTCATAGATAATCAGGGAAAATACATTGTTGATTGAATCTGTAATTAAATGTAATAATTGGTCACTTGTTTTCTTTATTGAAAATTCGGACAGAATTTATGGGATGACCTGATAGTTATCAGGGAAGCAAGTAAGAGGAAGGGAGTTTCACTGTCAGGAAGTGCAGGAGAAGAAGCCGTTGGAAAAAGAGTGGCGGTTACATTTAATTGTTTCGACAGAAAAAGGGTGGGACTGAAATAACAACTTAGTAGCACGCATTAAATTAATGCAGTCAGGGCACGAGTGAAAATAGCCCGTCAGAGCAGATGCCATGAAAATATTTGTAGAAAAGACAGACGGAAGCCGCATCACGTCTGCAAGAAAGTGACTGGAGTCGAGATGCCAAGTCATGACAGATCACATTGCATGTGCGTCTTTGGATTTTGCCGGAATGAACAGCGGGGGTACCAGACCATATATGGCAACAGTATTCAATGTATGGACGAATGGTAGATTTGTAGATGTGAAGGATGGACTCAGACGAGAAAAATCTTTTGGCACGACACAGTGAAACAACTTTCCTTGTGGTACATTCAGCTATTGTTTCAATTGTTCTACCTCAGGTCAGTGGAAAACATGAGACCAAGAAGGCTCATGGTATGTGCCCTCGTAAAGTTGAACATCTACCATGCTGATAAAAGGCAGGGAAGCTTATCTATGGTGAGTAAATGAGGGCAGTTTCGTTTTGGATGCATTAAAATATACAAGCCATTTCTTGCCCCAATTAAGCACCGATTGGAGGTCAGTTTTGAGATCAACGGCCAGGTTAACTTTGTCAGCAATGCCGGATTTACTGTGGAGACAGGAGTAAATGGTGGTGTCGTCTGCGTAGATTACTACTTGAGAACTGATGACATCAAGATCATTAATGAAGATCGGAAACAGTATAGGACCAAGGACCGAACCTTGGGGAACACCAGCATTCGTATGAAAGCAATTGGAAGAAAACCCGTTCAGGACAACCTTCATATCACGGTTAGACAGGAATGATTGGATTTAATCAAATAATCGTCCCGTAATACTGTATTCCTGAAGCTTATATAAAAGGCCGGCATGCCAAAACCTGTCAAACTCCTTAGATATATCTAGAGCAACAACTCAAGCTTCGCCGTTATTATCAAGAGTTTGGTATACCTATTTAGATATATGCACATCAGCGATAGACCGGGCAAAGCGGAAATAATTGTGATACGGTAAGTAATGCGCCTATAAATAGAAATTAGGTCATTGCGATGTCGAAATTAAAGCTGAGCCAATTAATTTACAGAGTAGGCTTATGCATTTTTTTAAAATTATTTATTTGCAAATAATTCTAAAATATATTGTATAAATTAGCAGGGACTTGATATCAGGCATAACGGTCGCTTTTCGCTTCCTCTTATCGAATAGCTGCTACTGGTGTTAAGAAGAGAATTCTATTTGTAACATGCGTGGCCTTAAAACAGCCTGAATTCATATTTCAGTGAAATTCGCATATGCTCACTTCTTAACAACAATGATATGAATTCCTTTCTCTCCGAGTTCTGACTATTTAAAAAAAATTATCTAAAAATGTCACTGGTTCGTTGAATCAGGTCGTGTGTATTCGGAAAATTCAGTCCTATTCATCTCTATTCTTGTTTCTTGGAAAGAAGAGATTGGGACAACTAGTAATATATCATGAAGGATTTAAAATGGTGCCTTAACGGTCTCCCGGTTTAAAGGAATAAACAATTCCAATATTGCTTCCCAACATTGAAATCTTTTTGGCTATATCGCAATGCTTTGGAAGATATATTCTACAGTCTTTGCCAAGTATCTACGTTTTCAAGTGATGTGAAAATTAAAAAAATTAAAATAATATATATATATATATATATATATATATATATATATATATGCATATATATATATATTCTTATAATATCAAGTATCAACGTTCTCAAGTGATGTGATATTAAATATTAAAAATAATATATATATATATATATATATATATATATATATTCTTTTAATATCAAATATCAATATACTTTTTAATATCAAGCATCAACGTTCTCAAGTGATGTGACATTAAAATTAAAAGAATACATATATATATATATATATATATATATATATTTTTAATATCAAATATCCACGTTCTAAAAGTGATGTGACATTTAAAATTAAAATATATATATATATATATATATATATATATATATATATATATATATATATATATTCTTTTAATTTTTAATATCACATCCCTTGAGAACGTGGATATAGAAAAAACTGTAGAATGTATCGTCTAAAACGTTGTGATAAGGCAAAAATATGTTTTTTCAGTGTTGGGAAGCTATATTACAATTGGTTATTCCTTTGAACCGGGAGACCGTCAAAGGCCCCATTATATATATATATATATATATATATATATATATATATATATATATATATAGTTTACTCCATATTTTGTTTTACAG